TCCAGCAGCAACCTTAGTTTTGTACTCAGTGACTCTTCTTAATGAAACCAAAGTGTGAGTATGGCCATTAATACCATTAATGTTGTTGCATCTTTATATAACATAGTGCAAGTGGCTCTCTGCATTTTGTTATGGCTATGTCTTTCATTGTATTCTTGTGGCAGCCACTCAAGCTACAGGGTGGCAGGTGGTGCCTGTTTGTTAAGTCTTGTACCCCATGTCTTGCATTGTACTCAATGGTGCTTGCGTGTAGAACCTAGATTATGACCTAGTGTCAAGTTCTACAAATCTGGCCAGTAAACCAGGGCTCATCTTGTCATTTCATGTAGGCTGATAATCAGGCCCTTCCAATTCAATAGAAGTTGCTTGATTAGAATAAAACTATGTATGGAACTTGGAATGGAACTACGTACAGATACCGACAGTAGTAATCTGTTGGTATTTAAACATGACTATGCTAGTACCTTGCACTAGAAACTGTGTGAGTTTCTTCAATTGGTGCTGCTGAACATTAGTGTTAACAATACAATATCAGTATGCATCATCATTGCGGCTCTATATCAGAATTAAAATTTCAGGATTGACTTCTCATTTTTACTGATTCAGGATAAAGCATCTTGTTTTTTTATCCCCCAAAATTTTGTGGGCTTAGGTTTCCTAAACGGAGCCAGATGTGCAATTATAGTGGAGCTTGCACAAAAACGTTGAGCCTATAAGCCGATTCAATTCTTACCATACAAAAATGCGTAAACACTTACTGTAGTATGCGTGTAGCAGACTCAAAGGCCATTTGTGGGTTTTGCAGAAGAAGAAAAATTATTAACAGAGGCAGATCTATTCTTTATTTCTCTTGTGTGCTTTATTGCTGAATTGCCTCTCAATGTTTTAATTTGTGCTGTTAATGGAAAATGTTTTGATATGACAACTGACAAGTTATTAAAAATGATAAAATGCATGAAGTTCTTTTATGAAGGTTTTCATTATGCGTTTTTTTCAGTAACTGCATTATTTTCTTTCCACATCTTTTGTAGCGTTTTGCCCATATTTCACAAAAACATGCTCAGTGTTCAAAATCTGAGGGATAAGAACCCAAGGCACTTATAATTTATTTTGCTCTTCTGGGACTGCTTTACTGTTATTCACTTAATTTGCTTCATTATTGCATTTCTCTGTTCCAGCACTCCAGCAAAGTGCACAAAATGAATATACTCATGATTATCACTTCTGATTCAGTTCAGTCACCTTCTTTGTCTCAAGAAAATGGAGAGCCTATTTAGGTTGCATAGTGTTCTGGTTTCAGTAAACCTTGTAAAGCTTTTAATACGGATGTGTTTAATTTTGTTATGCAACAAATATTTCAGAAAACCATTGCATTTGTCTTACATTAATGTTTAACAAAACAATGAAATAAATGCTTTTCCTTCATAGAAAAACTTAATATAAATGTTTAAAGCTGCAATATTATGTGTGAAGTAGAGATTATCAGCTTTTGATGTGCTGCTTGCATGTATTTATTGAGGTGAAGTTTGTTTAAGTATTTTATCAGACCATGCATTTGAACATGATTACATTTAAGCATCCTATAATTGTCCCATAGCAGAATGAACAGGAATTGGAGGTGTGTGTTCTAGCACAAGAAGACCTGATTCCAAAGTGTTCAAGATCTACTACATCTACCATGTTCTGTGCCCATGCTGTTTGGAAACCTGTTCAGTGTGATTATTCACTCTTGTCACTTTTATTTGCTGCATTTTATCATTACAAAAAACCTGAAGGGGAAGACCTGTGAGATTTCAGCTGGACTCTGAATTGACATTCTGTGTCTCAAGAGAGAGACAGTAACTCTTTTTATCTTACACCTAGAATACAAATGAGAACCCCAAGAGACCAGAGCAAAACAGAGGTATCGACGATAGGTTTTGAAAAGATTAAAAAAGGAATGGAAAGAAGGAACAGGACATTGGCGAGAAAACATCTTTGTGGCAGATGCAGTGGGTCTCAGGGTGCAGTAAGGGCACAGAGACATAGAGTGCTGTAGCTGTAAAAAAATTTGTATAGCGTTCCCATTTGCTTTCATGCTTCATTAAACAGTGTTCAAAGCCAGGCACTTCTGTATCTTTCTACATGTAATAATAGGATTGCGTTTTTGAATGCAGTGGTGTAATGCAGAATACATGTAGGAACCCAGAATGTCTTTCTTGCTTTTGTGATTTCCCTAGATTATATTATATAACACTTAATTTAAAGATTTGTATTGGTTCCTGTAACAATAACCACATGTTCTTAATCCCAAAAACAATTGGGAATGATGCTGTATAAGCATGTGCGTTGTCTCCTTCCCTCCCAGGGGGATGAGGTTTTTCAAGCCAACAGCAGTTAACTTTGAGCTTGACCTGGTTTATGTTATGAGCAACAGTTTATTTCCAGAAAGAGGAAAAGAAAAATACATGCAAAACAACTTGAGCACAAAGAGTTCTATATAGGGAGCTCATACGCAAATATAGAAAGAGTGACTTAGTTTATGAAAGTCAAATGTTTTTTAATATTCTGCATCGATAAGAGGGTTCATCTTTCTTGGTGTGTTTGTTGAAACAGTAAGAGCATTCATAGGTAAAATAAGACCAAGGTTTGAGATTGGTCAAGACTGTTTTATGTACAGTAGTCTGCAGACGACGCAGTATGTATCTTTTTGGTCAATAACAATCTCTATACTGATCATTTGGTCACTCTGCCCCTTGCGTTACTGAATTAGAGTGAACGTCATACTTAAGTTCAAGTCTGCCCTTCAGTGCTTATGTTTTGTGCTCTTTTATCGCAAAATCAGCCAAATAATTGCTCCATTTTAATAATTCCATCCAACCAGTCTCTTCCAATTCAAGGTTGTGGGGGAGCAGGAGCCTATCCCAGCAAGCAATGGACGCAAGACAGAATACACTCTGGTCCATCGCAGGGCAGTTGGAAATGGATACAAATGCAAACAATCGCATTGGGGCCAATTTTCACAGAAGCCGATTAACCTACCACTATGACTTTGGATTGTGGGAGGAACCCAGAGTCCAAACTCCATGCAGTAATAGTAATCCATGGATATAAAATGAAATACATAATTTCAACAAAAGTGTAAATCAACCAGAATAATGATTTCTGAAAAAAACGTGATGCACGGTCAAAATGAAAACTGTGAAAAGTTAGTATCAGGTCTGAACTCCCTAAGCATAATGAGGTTCCTGGGAGCGGCCATGCAAAGCTGTGATCAGGCAGTGGTCAGACTGCTGTGGGACGTTCCACCACCCTCCATGTAAAGCTGCAGCCAGCTGGTGAAGGTTGTCTGGCCGTGGCTGGATCCTCTTGGTGGCATGAGCGAATCACAGATGTTCTACTGGATTCCGGACAGGAGATACAGCTGAGCCTGACAAGACCTTCATTTCATGGGCATTAGGGTCCATGGCCCTTCTAGAGATAGGTTCTCTGGACCAGTCTGGTTAATGTTTGAAGCGGAACATCTCATGCTGTGGGCGGCATTTAAGGTTTTGTGTGTGATCATTGAGATACTGACTTAAAACCTGACTCTTGTTCCATTTTCCTTTTTTATTAGTTCACTAGTGTAGAAGTAAAGGGACATTCTGAGTATTGGAAAGACTCTTCTGTAATATCATGTCCTTGAATGTACATAACACTGAGAAACATTATACAGTCTCAGACTAAACGGTATACAGGTTATGATGTTGTTTTATGATCATTTTGTATTGGAAAAACTTTGTGAAGTGAGTCATTCTACATTTTGACTCTTTGAAAGCAAAAGCCGTCTTGGTTAGAAGGTCAATTATATAACACTCCAGTGGAGAAAAAACCTTTTCATAAAAAATACTGTGAATAACCATCACCTGATTGCTATTGTAAAGAGGAATGAATGTTAGGAATGTATTTTAAATAGAATGCAAACCAGAAATAAAAAACGTGTAAGAATTTAAGCTATAAAGTGCCTTCCAAAAGAATTCAAACTCACAGCTACTTCACTTTATGTACTTTAAAACTTGTAGTCAACAATTTGAAGTAGCAAACTGTTATTCACATCCTTCTCCATATTTAAAGAGAAAAATTAAGTAAATAAAATGACAGGAAAATGGAAAAGACATGATTGCATAAATATTCAAACACTTCGTGTCAACTGAAATTTATTTAGATGCACAAAATTGCAATATTACCTCAATGAGCCACACAGTAATTTGAGTGGTCTTAGTCTGAGTGCAGCAGTAGTGGTTAATAATAGTGGTTTCATAGTTAATAAATCTTATCTTATCTTAAGGTCCTTCAGTTAGGTAGTGAATTCCAGGCACATACTGTGTTAAAACATGAAGACTAAAGCCATACTGGTCTTACCGTGAGAACGTGAATGTTCCTGAGTGTCTGAAAGCCCTGGTTTGATCAACCCCATGAAATCCCAAATGAAATCCCAAGCAACTTCAGAACAAATCTGCCAAGAAGAAAAATTGCACCAAGCCGGCATGCAATGTTGCTGATGACTGACCAAGCTATAATTGCTGGAAAGGTTGCTTCCACCAAATATTAAGTTCACGGGTCTGAATACTTACAGTATTATATTTGCTGGTATTAACTGTAAGTTATCTTACCCGCAGGAGTCTTCAGTTTGAGCATTTTACTTTTGAATACAATTTTAACTTGGGGAAAAAAACAAGGTCATATGCTGCGAGAAATATTTCATTTTTACAAAATTGGACACCATTTCAGGATGTTATTTAAGACAGTAACTTTTTTAAGCTCATTAGTGATAGTTTGTAATTACTACTAATAATTAGTAATAAAATACAACAGTTCTTCAACAATTCAGGTAAAATACCATGCTTAAGTTACAATACAGTGTACAATAGCAGTGTCCAGTCTGGCATTTGAACCCACAACCTTCTAGTTACAACTCCAGAACCTGGACTCCTCCTGCATACTGCTGCCCTAATTATAAGAGTGCTGTTCTTGTTTTGCAGGCAGATCCGAACGACGTGAGCAGTCTCAGTATACCTGTCCCAATCCGCAGAGGGGGATCGGACACCAACCTCAACTTCAGCGTGACAGATGGCGTCTCGAACTTCCACTGGCTCAAACCCGGCAATGAAAACCTGCAGCAGAAGATCCTGAAGATCGCAGAGCAGATCAGGATCGAGAAGACGGCCTGCGACGAGAACGTCGCCGAATACCTCAAGCTGGTCAATACTGCGGACAAGCAGCAGGCGAGACGCATCAGGCAGGTGTTCGAGAAGAAGAACCAGAAGTCGACACAAAGCATCGCCCAGCTCCAGAAGAAGCTGGAGCAGTACCTCAAGAAGATAAACGAGAGTGAGATGAATAGCTCCTCCAAAGCTCCCAAAGAAAGCAAGGAGTCCTCCAAAGAAAACCTGAAAGACGTGCACTCAATCACAAAGGATGTGGTCTGCAGCTCTAGGACTGGTAATCCTGGTGTGGACAAGATCAAAAGTTTAGGGCCAGGCGTCACCTTGTCCCCACCCTTCTTTTTCAGCAAGCCCAGGGAATTTGCCAACCTGATCCGCAACAAGTTTGGCAGCGCGGACAACATCACGCAGCTCAAGAACACGCTGGATACGTTCCACCCAGAAAGTGGGAACAGGGCACTGAGCGGCAGCGCCACGATTGTGGCCAAGCCCAAGTACCCCAGTGACGACGAGTGTTCGTCTGGGACCTCGGCGTCCGCCGACAGCAATGGGAATGCGGACTGCGGGGCCGAAAGGCCCATCTCCGCACGGAGCCAGGCTCAGCTGGCCATGATCACAAAGGAGCTTGAGGATCTCAAGGAGCTGCAGTCACATCTGGCTGAGAATCTGGAGAACTTGAAAATTCAGCTTAAAAGAGACTACACATTCCTGACGCAGACCCTCCAGGAGGAGCGATACAGGTAATTGCTTCATTGCAAACTCAAGTGATGTACACGAATAGCGCTTGATGTTATTCACGAGAACACAGAATGATGGCCTGACGTTGGTAAATGGAAGTAATGCCATCCCCCTGAAATTATAAGGACAGCAAAGTCAAAACTGTTATTTTTGCTTTACTGTCAAGTAAGTTGTGTTTTTGATTACGAAATTAACATGGATAACAAGGACAATATAATTTTTTAATGTGTACTGTATATTTAAAAAATAAACCAAGTGACCACAAGTATTGGGGCACATTCAATTTAAATTTCATAGTCTAAAGATTTGGATTTGGTTGCATATTAATTTGAGGCAATAACTGCATGAGGTCTGCAGCCCATTGAGCTCACCACACATCTATATATACTTCTATTGCAATATTTCGGACACCAACCTCAACCAACACCTTTGCTGCAGTCCCTTTGAGGTCTTACCTGTTCTTGAGGTGTTCTGAATTTTATTTTTGTCTTCAGCATGCAGAATGCATGCTCCCTTTTAATTTGGAGACAGACTTTGGCAGCCTGGGACGTTCCACTTTTTTCTCCTGATGAACTCTGTTTGCTTTAGGTTTATTTTGGGTCATTGTCATGCTGCAGAGACAAGGAACGCCCAGTCTGTTTGGAAGCATATTCTTGTACATACGCAGATAAAATATTTTGGTAAACATAAGAATCCCTTCTACATTTGCTGCCATCATAAGTTACATCATCAATAAAAACCAGTGAAAAATTCCAGAGATGGCTACATGTCCAGGTCATGACACGACCTCCACCAGGCTTCACAGATGAGGTGGTGTGCTTTGAAGCATCATCATTTGCTTTCTTTCTACACACTTTATACTGTCCATCACTTTGGTAAAGATTAATATTGAGCATATTCATCCATTGAACATTGTTCCAAAGCTCTCCTGTATCCTGTTTCAAGCATTCTGTTGTTCCATTTTGAAGCTTGGTGGACGTAATGTCATGACCTGGGCACTCAATTGTATTGTTACAAATATTCATTTACAATTGTTAGTTTTTAAACATAATGTGTGGGGAAACCAGTGGGTGGGTCTGCATCATCTTCTTTTAAAGGGCTACTGAATACTTTGTCCTGTGACTTTAAATATTAAAACTATTCCCCCTAATTTCCTTATTAGGATGAATATCCTGCTTACTTCTTCAAAATGCTTTCTAAAGCGTTTCTATTGATGAGAAAAGTCAACATTGTAGAGAATTCAACTTTGTCCAGGGAAAGGATTGCATGTGACACCACTCTTCTGACTGAGGCTCTGAGACTGTTCTTTCCTCTCATCCATCACCTGCAAAGCCGTAAGATTGAGGATTGAGCCGTAGCAATTTACTTTAAGCATGTGCCTTGCTTAAAAACTGCCACCAAGAGCATTGAAAATAGAAATGTTAAAATCCCACCTCTCGCATCCCAGGTGTGTTTCTGCCTTTGCTCCTTGTGCTTTCTGATATAGGTTCCAGGTTGGCGTGACCCCTACCTGGAAGAAGTGACTTTCTCCTAATGGATGATCCCCCTGCTAACCCTCATGACATACGTCCTATGATTTTTTTTCTTGAACTTTGCAGGTTTGAGCGTTTAGAGGACCAACTAAATGATCTCACAGAACTGCATCAGCATGAGACCAGCAACCTCAAGCAAGAGCTTGCCAGTATTGAAGAGAAGGTGGCCTATCAGGCTTATGAACGAGCCCGAGACATTCAGGTATGAAACAGCAAATCCAAAAGGCAACAGTGCGTTGCTTCGTGGACGTTGTCTCAAAGGAGACCACAGTTAAGTTGTTGCTATATCAGTGTTTGTTTTCTTTGAGAAAAAGAAGGAAATAAAATTGAAGAACAAGACGTAGAAGAATACATTAAAAACTGAGCTAGATTTGAGTGAAAGAGTGAGAGGTGTAAGGCTGTTATGTGTGTCTTCACTAAAACCGACACAGTTTGAAACCAGTTAGCATAACAAACATTGCATTTCTATAAAGGTTTCAAGAATTTGCAGTCAGGTTCTGTCTGCTACCAGGCCTGAGGAAAGAGTGTTGACCTTTTTTCACCTCTCTAGCGTAGGGATTACAGAAGGAATAGATACTGATAAGGATGAGAGGCGCGAATGCACAGTTCCTGCTTTGCCACTCCCTACTGTTGCTAGTCTTAGAGGGGTACAAAGTGTGAGTTCTGCGCATATTTTATATGAATCTTTTATATTAATGATTTATTTCTGTTTTGCAACTCGAGTCATTGTGCTCCAGGTTTACGCATTGGAAAATGTGCTGTTGAAGCTGTGCTAGTAATGTAATGGTATAAATCTCGTACTGGTAATTACTGTAGAGTCTCAGCTATTCCTGGTCATACTGTATCATGCTATAATAATAATAATAATAATAATAATAATTATTATTATTATTATTATTATTGTTTACACATATATCGCTTTTCTGAACACTCCACTCAAAGTGCTTTACAGGTAATGGGGACTCCCCTCCACCACCACCAATGGCAAGCCTCATCTGAATAATGTGACGACAGCCATAGTGTGCACAGTACATTCACCACACACCAGCTCTCAGTGGGGAGGAGAACAGAGTGATGAAGCCAATTCATAGATGGGGATTATTAGGAGACCATGATTGGTAAGGGTCAATGGGAAATTTGGCCAGGACGCTGGTGTTACACCCCTACTCTTTTCAAGAAACGCCCTGGGATTTGTAATGACCACGGACAGTCAGGACCTCTTTTACATCTCATCCGAAGGATGTCGCCTTTTTACAGTATAGTGTCCCCTGCTGGCCCCATTAACTCCTCTTCCAGCAGCAACCTTAGTTTTTCCCGGGAGGTCTCCCATTCAGGTACTGACCAGGCCCACACCCCCTGAGTTTCAGTGGGCTGCCAGTTGTGAGTTGCAGGGTGATATGGCTGCTGGCCGATGTTCTAGTGCCTTGAATACACGTGCCGCTTTGTGCGCAAGGGCTCGTCTCAGTGCGAGAGGGTGGTATTACTCACTGTCCTTTCTGTCCGTGCTCGTCCTGCGCAGGAGGCGTTGGAGGCCTGCCAGACGCGCATCTCCAAGCTGGAGCTCCACGCTCAGCACCAGCAGGTGGTGCAGCTGGAGAACACGGACGCCAAGGTGCTGCTGGGCAAGTGCATCAACATCATGCTGGCCATCGTCACGCTGATCCTGGTGTGCGTCTCCACCGCGGCCAAGTTCACCGCCCCCCTCATGAGGAGCCGGCTGCACGTCGTCTGCACCCTCTGCGCCGTCACGCTCCTGGCCATCTTCTGGAAGAGCTGGGACAACCTGCAGTGCGCCATGGAGCGTGTGCTCATGCCGAGCTGAAGCCGGTGGGCACGTCAGTTCTGCCCTGCTTTCTAGGAAGTGGTGGATGTGCTGAGGTACCGTTCTGTTGAGAAAAAGGACAAGGCCGTTTGGGATGCCATCTGCTTCGAAGTGGACTGCATGGATTCCGTGCGGAGGCTTAACTTTAACTTCCGTGTCTCTTCCTTTCCTGCCTTTTCCCTGTGGTGAACCGTCGTGTTTTGCCTTGTAACGATGACTTCAAAGAGCCACTTGATTTCTCGTCTCTCATTTGACAAGTGCAATATACGTGTTTAGTTTTGAAAGTGTCTTTTTTTTTAAAACCAGGAACAGTAAAGTTGTCTCTTTGTGTGTACCCAGTTAATTACTTTATCAGATTTGTATTTTTGGAAGAGGTTTTCGTGTATGATTTTTTAAAAAACTACAATAGTGATGCTTGAAAGAGGTTAATAAACTGCAGAGCAGTGCCCTGTATAAAACATGTCTCTTAAGCAGTTATGTTTGGGTCCCTTTTAGACGCAAATTGCGTTCTTTTGAAACACCCGGGGCAAGGGTCTGGGGTTTGATTTGGGTGTTTCGTCTCTGGGTGTTTTGTCTCTGGTCCTGATGTGTTCTCATTTCGTTTCCCTGGACTAGGTTTGATTGGCCATTTGAGTTGGTCCCGTTTTTCATGGTCCTGTGATGAGCTTTGTCCAGTTGGTGGACAATAGTTGTGTGCCAAGCGTCATGTGTTTCCAGGATAGGCTCTAGCTCTTCAAGACTTTCTGATAAAGGACATGGGAACTGATATTTCTGAAGGTTCATTCGGTATATTTTTGTTAGAATTAGATGTGTTAGGTGTATATACATAGGAAAATATCACAGGGAGCTTGATGCAAATCTAATGATACATGTAATTTCCTCTAAGAGGACTTTAATGATAAAATGCATTTGTAAATTAATAATTGTAACAGGGCTTAATATAAAGAATCACATTTTCCTTCATATTTTGATGCTTATATTTAAGACAAGGAACATTAACATTCTCAAAATTAGCTTAAAGCTTAACATGTACAGTATACAGTAACTTTATTACAGTTTTTATAATATTATTTTTAAACGTTTCAATTAGAGGGGTGATTAAATTGGGGGTTGTCTGAAACAAAGTTAAAGTTTATGGTCACTAAAGGGGGAACTCTATTCTTAATTTTAGCTTTAGTGCATTTACAGTAGGTGCCCCAGTCGTTGTGGATTGTGTTCAGGGTGCATTTTCTTTTTGATTTTCTTTTTGCTGTGTAGAATCCATCCTTCTAACTGCTTCACCTAATTTGGTGTCACAGGGGAGCTGGAGCCTATGCCAGCAAGCAACAGGCGCAAGACAGGGTACAACCTGGACGGGACACCTGTCCATCGCAGGTCAGACAAACACAGACCAATTCACCTACCAGTCTGTCTTTGGACTGTGGGAGGAAAGCAGAACACCCAGAGGAAACCCACAGGAACACGGAGAAGACATACAAACTCGACACAGCTAGCCCCTGTGCAAAATCAGTTTCTTATTCTTATTTTTTACACCCTTGTCTGAAATCAAGTAGCGTTAAGTAGGAGTTCCAAGGTTTCTCTTGAAACAGCATGGAAATCCTCAGATTCTTCGGCTTGCAGTTTGTGTTGTAGAAATGGTGAGCTCCACGCAGTCTTATAGGAAAGAGCCTGGGTTGTAGGAATCCTGCTAGCTCAGGGATGCCCAGGAAATCTCAGGAGTTACAATTGTGTTGCTACTGAGGGAATCTTGACTACCTTGAGTCCATTTAGACTCTGCACTGCTTTCCCTCTTGTGTGCCACCTATTGGAGAGTGAGCAGCTTTGCTAGTTCAGCTGTTCTGGTGCCCCAGGGGTGCGATTGTGCAATTGTCCTAACATTGCAAGTGTATCTTTCTGGATGTTGTGATCAGTTTTGTTGCTACTTACAGTTTTCCAGGAAACTGAATGTAGTGCCTGTGGTGGGGTTTGCTTTGTCTGAGTGAATACAGGGATAAAGTTCCAGAGTGAAGCATGACTCTATTCCTGTCACTCAGTAGACATGTTAGTGATGCCTTTGCAAGTGAAATGGAAAGATAACAAAAGTGCACATAAAAGAACACCATGGCCTTAAGACCACTGTACCTGCATTGGTGTCAGCCAGCAGGGGGCACTCATGACATGCCTGGTCACTCCAGGTAGGAAAGATCCAGAGCAAGTAAAGATCACAAGGTTACTGATCTTTCAGTTAATGTTACTTTTTGCATAATATGTAGTTAATTCACAGAAATGCAGTCATGCATTTTAAGTGGGTGATAGTTTTCCAGGACTGTATACTGTATCTCAGGAAGATTAAACCTGTGGAGAAATATGCTGTTCAAAGGATTATACTTCTGCATTATGAATTGCTGTAATGAGCAGTTTCCCTTTGATCTGCAGTGGATCGGCATTCAGTATCAGATTTGAATGGTATTTCAGTAGGTGCCTGTCAGTGTACTTGCCGACTGTAAGCAACTGAATTGTATAAGCTTTTGAAATGGAACAAGTAATGGGTGTATTCCATGCTAAAAAGAAGAAAGAAAACACAATGTTTTGGATGTGTAGCCTTCTTCGAAGAATGCTCCACAGCCGAAACGTTGTGTCTTCTTTCTTCTCTTTTTCAGCATGGAATAAACCATATTATTTGTTCCTTTACAGCCTACGCATGCTGACGCAGCTACCCACCTGAACTACTTCAGCTTTTGAGGTGGTAGCACAAAGAGAAACACATGAAACAGAAAGTTCATTCAAGTACAGCAGGGTGATGTGTGAATAAAAATTCTGTAACTTAAGATTGCAGGTAAATAACGAATTGGGGAAACTTAGAACGTCTTGCCGAGAATGAAGACTGTACCAGTTTTATCGTCACTTCAAGTTCAAGTTCACATTTGTCATTCCAGCCATATACAGTACAAGTATACAGTGGAACGAAATATCATTCCTTCTGGTCCATGGTGCAAATACAGACAGGACACTGACATAGACATTGTAGACAGGAACATACGGTGCAAAGTGCAGATTACAAGGCAAATACATTATACAATATACACAATACACTGGGGGGGGATCTAAACCCTGTTTCTGGAATTGAGGCGGATGCAAGTAGATTCTTTTGAATAATTTTTTTATGCCTCCGTCATTTGCCAAATCTAAACTTTACTGCTAGCAAAACGTCAGATTTCCTTTGTCTGCTTTCCATTGTAAATTTGAAACACCTCAAATTATTGTACAACGAACGGGCAAAGTAGGGGGGGGGAGTCTCACGTTAGCCATCTTTGTGCCAGTTCTTATACACTGCAGTATTGAAAGCTGTTTTAAATGAATTTGTCTTGCAATACTTGCTAAAAAAAGAAATTATTTTAAGTTGTAGGATTCTTGTTCTGGTGTATATTAAGAACATTGGCTTTATTTTTGGTCTTTCAATTTCTAGAGTACTGTTTTGGTGTTTTCAACTCTTCCAGCATTTGGATTTTAGCAGTACTGACTAATTGCTCCACTTTCCTCTCGTGTGTACTGATTTAAGCATGACTACTCAGTGATAAACTTACCTGGTTTTACTTTACCTGCTTTAATGAAACTCTTTTCAGTGTCTGTGTAGCAAGCAAAGGGTGCTGGTGTCTTGTGTGAACTTGAACTTGCCTGACACAACTGCTTACATCCACAGTGCTCTGTCAGGGACTGTGCTGTTGTAAAAAATAAAAATGGAACTTTCTTCTACGAATGTGTACAAAACTAACTTATTAAGAACTGTGTAAATGCACCTGCATCTTCTTTTGCAGATGCTGTTTTTTTCCTAATTTTTTTTTATTTTTTAAGAAATGAATTTTATAACTTATATTTTAAGGAGAGACTGCAACAGTTTCTCCCCTTTGGGGATTCCCTTGGAAGTGTACATGTATAATATTTAGGGGTCTTTTGTCAATCAGCTCAACTGTTGTAATCTTTAAAAACTGCCAGTTTAGAGCTCTCCGCGATTATACTTTTTAGATTTAAACAGAAATCTGTGGAATTCACTTAAGACTTCCTCATTCTGGGGAAGTAGCGTTTTATCTACTGTATACCTTTCGTGAATGATATAGAGAAATAAAGTTTCCAAGAAGTGCTTTAGAAGCCTGTAGTCTAATGTGTTAAGTGATTTATGTACTGTATATGTGGTTTTTGCACTCCTCTGCAAGCTATGTTGATGATTGAATGGCCCCAGATTCCAAAAAATCAACGTTACCTTATGGCATTCAGCCATAAGACAAAAACCTTACTACCTTTCTTTTTGAGGGCCACAAAATGACTTTCCATTTTAATGCTTTCCTGTTAAATAGTTTTGAGTACAAGTTGATTTGTAATCCTAGCATGAGATTGTTGTGTTTTACTAGTTAGAGTTAATCACTAAATGTCTAGGAGAGCTTTATCACAATGTTCATTCCAATAGCACCTGTCTTCTACCCCTTCACCACCAGTTCCAGCGGAATGCCTTGTTCTTTTGGCCCTCAAACCCCCAAACCTTTCAGGTGACATAGAAGATCTGATAATTGTTTTGCATCAGTCACAATTGTATTATTTCTGGGTTGGTTTGTTCTTAACGTCAGTCTTTTCTTTCATATTGTTTATCCTATCTGTTACCTCCCATGTTCATTTTATGTAACGTTTTGTGTTTTCTGCTTTGTGTGTGGCTAGCTTGGTTAGTTTGGGTATGTCTTTCAGTCAGACCATTATCCCCAAAGAAACTAGATAGTTATTTTTATCAATAAATGTTGTTTTTCCACTTTTACATCTATAATGGAGCTTGAGTACTACTGCTGCTGAACCTTGTACAAAAGTGGATGTACTAAGATGTCTATTTCTCGATTATTATTTTTTTCAGGGACAGTTTGGAGAGAATAAATGCCATTTATTTAAGGACAGGTCTTTATCATATTATTCTAAGTACCAGGAAATGTACTGCTGTGGAAAGCTATGTAGTATGGAATGCCTTTCAAAAAACGGATTTGAAAATTTTATTTTCCTGCTTGCAGATTTTACATAATAAAGCCTGTCTTAGCTTTACCAGTTCTTGGAAAGTGTGTAATGTTTAATTTCCCTCATGGCCAAGTAATTATTGTTTGAAGCCACATAGCCTAGAATGATTTAATAATTTGGGGGTTAGTTTTTTTATTGGTGATGTACAATATGGTGAGATATGTGGGGAGATCCTCATGTTAATTTACCAACAAATGGGTTAGATTAAATGAATGGCTGCATCTTGTTTGTAATCTTTCTTGTATCTCTAAATTATCACTCTGTGCCTTTATTCCTTTCATGGATTAACACCTATACAGGTTTCACAGTGCTGCAACCCTTAACAAGAACAAGCAACTTTTTGATAGGGGTTGCTTTTTTGTGGGTTAAGACTAGCCATCAAAATGCATAGATGTTTAGTTTTCCATTTTTATATTATAACAGTTGTTATAATGTTTTTTCAAAAACAAAGTGATACCAGTCACTACACAATGTACTTTGGAAGTAAAATGACTACATTCATTTTATTACAGTGGAAAATACTGATCATAGTATAATACTTCAGCAAATTCAGAAACTTGTTAGGGAAATGTTTATTGTAGTGGTTGCCCTTTTATTGAACAGGCATGGCAGAAGTAAATTCATTTATGCGGATTAACATTTGCCATCCACAGAGTTGATCAACAGAATGGCTATTGTGAAAAAAGTGTTGAGCTGTGTGTGGCCACAGCAGAAAGCCTTTATATCAGCAATGCATTCTTTGCACCAGCTGTTTTGTGGGATTCTCTCCCATTCTTTTCATAAAGCCCGGACTAGCTTGTGTCTGTTCCCTGGTCTCTGAGCTCTAGAGGCCACACACTGTCCCAGCTCATCCCACAAATGTTCAGTGGGGCTTAATTCCACTGACCAGGGCAGCACTGACCACAGCACTCTTACACAATGATTCTTTTTGTTTTCTGGAATTTCGCCACGTCAGCATGAGCCAAGGGATGGAGGGTAAGGTCACAGATCTTGAGCAAAGTAGCACCATACAGTCAAGATGGCATTAATCAGTACTGGTGGAGTTCTGCAGCAACTACTTATGCCTGCCAGGACCATTGCACTTTGACCTCCCTATCATTCTTGGTTTCCTGGCTCGTGGTCTCCCAGACTGTGACCTGTCATTGACAGAATATAGTTGGCTGTAAACCCTTCCCCAGGTTAGAAATGTTAAACTGCGAACATCCCAGATAATGTGTGCAGAATTCATACAGATGACACTATATCCAAATGAATGTCCAGATTCAGTCAATTTTGTGTTTTTGTAAACAATGTATGTATGATGGGTCTCCTATGACACTTGGTCAAATGTATTTTTCTAAAATGAATTGAATTGAAAACTTACAGTAAAAGCAACCTTTTGAATTTAATGAAATTGTAATTATCCAGAAAAATTAAATACCATTTATTCTTTTGGATTATGAACTTTAAAAATTTGTTGTAGAATGATTATTCTCCTCGGTGTAGTAGAACGTAATTGTCAGCACATTTTGTTCCTGTCATTCTGCAGTTTGTTTTATAGAGGTATGTAACATCTTAATCTAATTGTTTCTTTCTTGCTGAGAAGTTGAAGAAACGACTTTTTGTTCACAAAGCAGGGACGTGTGGGGCTTGGCTCTTTCTGTACTCCTCCATGTAAGGGCTTGCAACTTCCCACACCTAAAAAGGACCATATTGATAGAAATTTATAGATTTTTTTTTTCTGAAAATCCACCATCAGGTTTTCAAAAACTATAACCAGGTATATCTCCTCAAATGCATAAAACCACATTTTTAAATATGTGATTTATAACATTGTGTAAGGATGTTAGACCTATAAAAACAGATTTAAAAGAGTTAAAGTTTTAAGTACAACATCCTCGTCAACCTAAACTTCTCAACAGTGGGGAACAAAACTGGCTAAAGTCCGTCGTAGGCCCTTAAAAAAATCTGAAATTGATCCAAGAGTTAAGGTTTCTAATTCTCCACTGACGAGATTTTTATAGGCATTTCAGTCCAGTAAACTAAATAAAACTGTTCCATTCCCATTTGATGACACAAACATCTTCAAAATGAGAAATGACAAAAGAAACCCCGCGCGGCTTACTTTCTCTTGCAGAAGCAGTTTGTGAACAGCCTCAATGTCTGGTGTCATGACGCGGTCCTTATCCAAAGGCCTAATGGGGATAAAATTGACTTATGATTCTTGGACAATTCCAAAGATTTACGAGAATTGTTCAAGCTTAGCCGTTACAGTGGTCTTACTTGACAGATGCACGAACAAGGTCATAGACTTTCTCCAATGGAGTGGTAGTTCTCAGGGGGCGTAAAAACTCGATCCCCTGGCAGGCTGCGAGCAGCTCTATGGACAGAACTGAGACGGAAAGTCCAGTTGGAAAAAGAAATACAGCAAAAACATATACTGTTTCTTAAACTAAGAAACCCGAAAAAGATTATTTTCCACCTGTTGTTTATGGTACAGTAGTTAAAAAAAATCAGTGTTATTTTTTCACACTATGTATGACAATAAAACAAATTGTTTTAGTGGGTTATAGGGGCAACAAATAAGTACCAGCCTAAGCCTTGAGGCACAGCAATTCATGACGCTGGAAAACGAAGAGAAATGTAGGTCTCAACAGCAGAGTGACGCGTGTTGCTCTAGCAACCTCCCACTTCTGAAACAAAGCCCCTGCAGGGACATGATCAACCCAGCTGGTGGCTCCAGAAGATGACACGTGGGATGTCTTCGGCTGTCATTCGGATATTGAGGCTCCCAAGAGGAGGCTGCCTTTGTCTTTTCAAAAAGATGTACGCCTCCCTCTGTCTTGCACAATGACCGCCTGCATGGTTCATTTATCATCATGAAATTCTGTTTACACCATTTCCTTAAAACTAAGTTAGAGCAGCTTTGAACTGAATAGAATTTGTTTTAATTCTGTTTCTCTCTTTATATAATATATATAAAACCCGACTCTTTGGTGCATTTCATCACTGTGTGGGAAAGAAAAGTAACTAACTGTCATTTTAATAACTTATAGTTCTTAAAATAAATATAACTTACTGTGTATGCTGCAGTATGTTTTTTATTTCTCTGCTCAAATGTTTTGTATGTAAAACTGTTTAAGCTCCTGGCTGCATGTGCGTTTGCTGTTCCCACTGAGATAACAAGTACCGAGTACCTTGTTCCACATGCTCCACCACACGGAGGGCCTTCCTGGCTGCCCAGCCACCCATTGACACATGGTCCTCAGTGGCAGCACAGGTGGACAGGGAGTCCACAGAGGACGGGTGACACAGAACTTTATTCTCTGACACTGCAGGGACAGGACAGTGCTATTGAATGAAGAGTCTGTCCTACCATTATCATATACAGTGTCCCTATCAAGGTACCTACTGTGTCCTCATCATGCACCATACATTGTAGTCATCACACCACTTGTAGTGTCCTCTTAGTGTAACATACTGTACAATGTACTCATGATGCTACATACAGTAGACTGTGGTTATCATGCCACAGACAGTAGCCTCATCATGGCACATACAGTGTCATCATCATGCCACATGCAGTGCTATTGAGCTCTCTTATATTCACAGTACAGCTCGAACAACTTCAAATAATGACAATACGAGCAGAATAATATAATGGAAAAGTTTCCTTAATTCTTTGGTGCTAATTCATCTGGTTGAGGAATTTAGAGCCCCGGCTAAAGAGCTTACACATGCACACGCACACACATAGCAGGAATGAACCACATCATTGTGGACAGCCAGACAGTATTTATAGGTAGGAAAGCAGAAGAGCAAGATCATAATTTGTCCATCTACTGACCTTCTGTTAAATAACAATAGTAGGTACAGGCACAACTGATCAGGTTATATTTAAACTCGGTAATGAAAATGATTCTAAACCCTTTTCTGCAGTTTATTTGTATCTTATTTCAATGCATATCACTGAATAATAAAAGGATTAAGAACAAAGTATTAAAACCATCTTAGTTTACTGGTTATTACAAATTTTACTGCCATATAGACCTTAATTCCTGTTCATATACTAGAAGAAAGAAAACATTACAGCAAATATGACAGCAATTTGACATATCAAAGTGAAACATCCAAGTAATGGAGAATTACAGAGAAAATTTAGTGTTTCAAATCCAAAATTATTTGGGGAAAAAAAAACCCATCTGCTTGCTTATCAACTTATCAAATTAAATAAACAGTCTATTAGTATATCTTTGTGATATGATCTGTTCATGTCCCATAAATGAAATTATTCTTCACATTAACTTTTACTCATATTTAAACTAGGTGTTATTTAACTTTGATACTCATAAAATAGTACCCCTTAATCTGTACAGTTTCCTACTGTAGGTATTGTCACGACTTTGACCAAGGATACAAGATTAAGCTAACTACAAACAGATTTTGCTAAACCAGAATTTTCGGCTTTTGACCAGGTTTGCTTCTGGTCCTACATTTACCGTGGGTACAGGGTCGTAACAGGTGTAACTTCAGGACTGCTCAACAGCACACGTAACCACTTACTCACCCAGAGCAGCGGCAGTGCAGTGGGCTATCATGAACCCGGAGTTCAGGCCCCCTTCGCTGACCAGGAACGCGGGCAGCTCGCTCAGAGACGGGTTACACAGCCGCTCAATCCTCCTCTCACTGATGGAGGCCAGCTCGTGCACACCGATGGCTAAATAGTCCAGAGCCTGGAATTACAGAAGGTGAGCAACTTCAGAACAGTACGGGGTTTATTGACAGGTTGTGGCAACTGTATTTCCAGTGTTTCAATTCCTACAGGTAAGTTCATTCATCCATCTTTTTTCAATAACCACTTAATCCTGTGCAAGGCCGGATCCTAACTGGCAAGATTCACCCCAGTAAATCACACGGCACACAAATTTACAGACACATACTGTATGCATACAGGGGAACAACTGAAAAACACTAGGTTACCTAGCCAGGATGCCTTTGGATTTGGATTGGAGTGTACGCAGTATTCAAACATCTAGTCCCTTAAACTCGAACACTAAATTTACTTTTAAACTGAGCTTCAGTTACACAATTATCATCGCACCTTTGCAGATTTCATCTACATGAAAACAGCAAGAAAAAATTAATTTGATTGGACAAACTTCTAAAAATGCATAGCAAACTTCTTGGGTCTTTTATTGTGTTCACGAGAAATTTTCACAAATATTTCCATTCACATACTTTAGCAGGGTATTCACCATGAAAATTCCCACCAGAAATAGTTTCTCCTCTCTCAGCAAAAACCATCTTCAGTACTCGTTAAGGTTCTTAATTTTTAAACAAAATGAACAAGCAAAAAGGTAGCACTTTAACACAATCGATTTCTCTCTTTGAAACAGTAACATAAACATCACAAAAGAGATCTACATACCATATGTTAAGACACAAACCATTCTCTACAAATAAAATAAAAAAAGGATTATAGGCAAATTGTAGTAAAACCCATAATAAAACCATTGTTCTCAATGGTTAATGTTCGTTGTTCAGTGCTCAAAATAAGGTCTGAAGTATTTGAACCTAAAGGAATTCCAAGCACCCCTAAAAATAAAAAAATAAAATAAAATGGCTTTTCCATTAGTGCAATATTTGTTGACTGCAACAATACGTAAAAGATTTCCATTTGCAGCTGAGCCCTCTAACACTTGTGATGTTAACACCAGATTAATTAGAGCAAACTTTCGATAGCAGCTGCAGGATACAGGGTTGTCTGTGACGCTGTTGATTTCTGTGTTGATGATGTTCTTGACAAACACAATTGTGTCGTTAACTACTCCGTGGACCTAGAAGAAATGAAAGTGTGGTACACAGTAAATCTGAATAGCCGATTGATTAACATGTTAAGGTAGTATTCGGGCTGTGTGTGTTTAACCAAGGCATGGAATTTGATCTCTTAAATATCACCTAGCATCTGCATTCTATACCTGAGGACAGCAGCGCAGGGTGTATGCATCTTGAACTCGGTCACAAAACCTGTGGCTTTCTGTCGAACAGAATCAGAATCAGAAATCAAGCAGAACAAAATCTGAAAAGGAAATAAGTGCTGATTTAAACAGATCTCCACCTGCTATTTCCGAAGGATGATGACCAGAGTCCAGCAGTGATCGAAACCTGAAGGCCACTTCCTTCTGTCCAGAGTGAGGACGCAGCTCATGGATACCTAGGGGACAGTGCTCTCCAGGTTGGTTAAAGCTGGCTTACAAACAGCTTTATTTGCTAGTGACCAGCAGAGTTCTTAGCAATAAGCAACAAACAGTGCAATTGTCTTGACCAGGTGCTTTCAGCAGAAGGCCTAAATTGTAGCCACCACACAGTGTGTATTCACGCATAGTAACACAGACACAGAGAGGAAGCAAAACACAGCGAGGGAGACAAAAACAGAACTTTTCAGAAATAAACAGCAGAAAGACTGAACAGTTACATAAAGCTTTACTTTTCAGTTCCCTTCAACTCCCAAGGCCTTAGTCCTGTGTGCCCTTAGCAACTGTACAGTTCTCTTCACCTGGTACCAAGGGAACTGCCAAAGCAGATGGTGCTAAAATATTTTTTTCCTATGTCATGATTCACTTTGCGCAGAATTTATTCAATCTCTAAAATATTATCTTCATTTTTTTCCAGAATTATGACTGAGCCTTTTGTCAAGACCATCTAGGAGTTATTCTAGATCTCAGTCGATGCTATCGGAAGTTCAGTCCTACCCTGAAATTTCATATCCAAGACAATGACACGTGTGACAAACATTTCTGACATGTTATATAAAAGAATAAAATAGGTAGGTTGCAAAACATCTCATGCACAACACCCAAAAATACCCAAGTGTGTCTTCTGTGGTGAAGCAAACAGAGCTTAAAAAAGGTATTCCCAGCCAATAAGAGCCCCTGTCTCACCACTGTCAAAGGCCCTTGTGGTTCCCTTGAGCACCTCCAGGGTTAACGCGGCGATGATGTCAGCCTGCCTGGCGATGGCCTGAGCCCTCTCCACTGCCTCCGCACCCAGAGAAGTGATCATCTGGGTCCCATTGATGAGGGCCAGCCCCTGGGGGTCAAACACAGGGAGCCATTGACATCCACCAAGCAAGTCAATATTTGACGTTTAATATTTGAAAGTGGAAGAAACTATTGTACATATACAAAGCATAATATTTATTGACTTGGCACATCAGCAGTGCACAGTTTGTCTCTACAGTGCATAGTTTATCAGGACACGTATGAAAAATAAAGGAGATTCTGAATCTTGTAATGAACTACGGTGAGATATTGCAAAGATAACATTGATCAGTACCTCTTTAGGCTTCAGAGATATGGGGCTCAGTCCATGGGCCTTCAACACCTGAATAATGGAAAGCCAAATAAAAGTTCAGAGGTAATGGGTTTATTACAATTTTTTTTAAAAAATCCTTTATGAAGGGAAGATTCAATGTTTCTGTCAAACACAGGCAGAGCACATTTTCAAAGGAGTAATAAAATAAGTTCAAATTTAGGAGGTGGAGTAGTGTAAAGGTTAAGCTGTCGGACTCATTTCTAGCAGGTTGTGGCTTTTACGTCCCTTCTGCTAACTCTGCTGAGTCTGCAGTTATACCCTTGAGTGAGGTACTTTACCCCAGCTGCCCCAGGCCACTCAGCTGTATAAGAAGGGACCTGCACTGGTTGGGTGAAGTCCCTGCAGCGGTTGACGTCCTATCCGAGGGGGGGAGAGGGGTCACATGCTCTCTCATCCGCTTCACGCTACAGAAACCACGATGACCTCTGGCCTGATGAGCTGCTGTGGCTCTGGGGATGAACTTGATCTTTTTTACGCCAACCTGTTCTAACTCAGTATCAACCAAGAACAGAACGGAGGGTTGTGTCGTGTAGTGCGAAATCTCACGGATTTGGCGTCGGCCCAGCCACTCTTCGGCGACCACATCTTGCCCTCTCCCATGAGCCCCAGGGCCAGGTGAGCCAGGGGCGCGAGGTCTCCGCTGGCCCCGACCGTCCCCTTCTCTGGGACATAAGACAGGCAGGAGGCTGCAGAGACAGGCGGGACGCGAGTCACCCATCGCACATGCCCAAGCGGCTTCTTGTTACACATTAACGCAATGCATCTTGATGAAGGGAAAAGAGCAAACTAAAGATTACAATTGAAAGCCGCTATCATGTGTTGCAGGGTTTCAAGGGAGATGCCACTGTATCCTTTGGCCAAGACATTGATCCTCAGTGCCAGCAGCATTCGGGAGTGCTCGGGGCTCAGGGGCATCCCAACACCTGCATTCAACATGAAAGGAGTACAAAAAGACAAAGGTCGTGCCATTCAAAAGACAGTATTTTTCTTTTTATTATTATAAGAATAGTTGGTTATTCTTGAGACATTCCTACATCTGGAACAGCTGCCTATTAGAAATGAAAATTCTACCAACTTGTCCTTTCAAGCAAGAAAATATCTCAGTATCAGCGGGGCTATTCCCAGATAAGACACAAGAGGGACTCCTGGTGTGTGATGAGCAACGTCATCTCCAACCCAGCAAACCCAAACCCAGGGCATCTGAATACTTTGAAATCCCTCATCATACTCAGCTAATGTCATAGGCTCGTGTTTACAAGGGTTTTCTTTGTGGATTTTCATGGTTTCCTCACTAAATTCTAAAGCAAAACTGGTAGGTTAACTTGGTTCTGGGAAAACTGGCCCTGGTGTGAGATTGTGTGTGTCTGTGTGTGTCCTGTAATGGACGGGTGTCCCATCCAGGGTGTATCCTGCCTTGTGACTGTTGCTTGTTGGGATAGACTTCGGCTCCCCTGTGACCCATTATTGGATAAAATGGATGGATAAGTTTGATCTGGCAACCTCTGGGGGATATCCTGCAGGGAATGTTCTACCTGTTATGGCTGGCGAATTGTGTTTTTTTAGCCCTTGCATTAGTGGAAAAGAATGTGACTCACCAGTTGAATCTGCCCGAATCAAGTTCTCCTGCAGTTCCCTACAGATCCAAGACAAGGGTGAAAATGAATCATGTAATTAGTCTTATTTTGAGAGGTATGTGTAATGAATTTTGTATTGTTGTCTTCAGAATAAATTTTTTAAAGTGACCAAACAACATATACAAATAATAGAAACAAATCTTCCACACGGAGAACATAAAAACTAAAAAGAGGATTCGCATACTTCTGGAATCTGTTTAATATATAGAAATAACTGTAGCAAAAGTAGCTTTGGTGGGTTCTGGAAACCTTTTAACCTTTTAAAACCTTTTAAAAGAATAAGAGTAAATAATCTACAAGGAGATGAAAGGCAGGACGAATTCCGTTTTAACATCTGACATTGTTTTAAAAAGGTCAAAAACCAAAATCACAGATTCAGAAAACACCTGGGCCAAGAAGCAGTATTTGTTTAAACTGAAGAAAAACTGCTTCCTGTGTCATACAATGTGGAGGGAATAGAGGAACACAAGAAAACAACTTACTTGAGTTTACTTTTTGGTATGAGTGTTCGAGCAACCTTTCCAAATCCTGTATTGATTCCATAAACAACTAGACAGAAATGCAGTTTTTAAATTAGAAAGTACTTATGTCATCATAATTATAACATTTTATATAATATTTCAGGTTTGTGAACTAAAGTGGCACAGGGGTACAGTGGTTAGCATTGCTGTCTCTCAGTGCTGAGTCCCATGGTTCAGTTCCAAACCTATTGTGCTATCTGTGTGGAGTTTGTATGTTCTCTTAATGCTCATGTGGACTTCCTTCCACACTTCATACTTTAAGACACACTGGTAGGTTAATTGGCATCTGGAAAAACTGGCCTAGCTGTGCGTGTGTGCATGTTTGTGTGAGCTTTGCAAAGGACTGTTGTCCTGTCCAGTGTGTATCCTGCCTTGTGCCCACTGCTTGCTGGGATAGGCTGCCCTGTGGTAGGTTAAATGGCATCTGGAAAAACTGTCCTAGCTATGCGTGTGTGCATGTTTGTGTCAACTTTGCAAAGGACTGTTGTCCCGTCCAGCGTGTATCCTGCCTTGTGCCCACTGCTTGTTGGGATAGGCTGCCCTGTGACCCTCTACTAGATAAATAAGTTAGAAATGAATGTATGGACAGTTCTGAACTAATTTCTATCAGTTGTGAATTTTTTAAACTAGATAATATGCTACAATACAAAAACCAACATGGTATCCCTCTCCATATCTCCAACAAAAGGGCATGTAAACAAGAATAAGATCAAATCATGTACAGCACTCAAAGGTCCATTGTCTGCCTCAAACACCTCACTGCACTTCATAGATCAGAGATCTCATAGATCATAGATCACACAGAGCTCCTCATTAATCCAGTGATGTCTGGGAAGGAAATGCAGAAGAAAGTTTAAGATGTACAAAAAAAAAAAAACATTTCCTAAATGTGGCATTCTCAAATGTGTAGAGAGCCACACTGCAACCTGACCAGAACTTTTACAAGTGACCAGAAACTAAATTCACATAATGGAGCCCTAGAGGAGGGTCAAGTATGGAAGTATGAAAAAATATTTTTTGTAATTTAAAACAAATTGAATTACTATAGTCTCAAATGTTACAGGAAATGCCTTTATTTGTAAATTTCACCTTCCCTTTTCCATACAATAACATCTGCTGAGGGTTAATTATTTTAAAAGTAAAATTTTCACAATTTTAGAGAAAGAAAATTACCTTTATTTTCATCAACAACCTTTTCCACAAGTTGTCTTGATTGTCTGACTTTGTGTTCTGCCTCTGGGGTTAGCTGAACCACAATATGACATATGAATCTTATTAGCAATCATATATAAATTACAGTCAATAATATCTTAATCTTGTTGATAAACCTCACCTTAATCTGGTAAATTCCTTTCCCTAACTTTACCAGATCTGATGTTGTAAGACTGTTGCCATCCAGATGAATAAACTATGAATGAAAGTAAAAGATGCATATTGTCATCAATTGTTTGCTGCTTGCTTATATTTTACAGATATTATAATATACTTATTTTACTAGAAATGACACTCACTTCATGGGGTTTTTGATAAGTAGGACTGTTAAAAGCTGTTAAGGAAATCTTTTGTCATGATACTGTAATTGATACAAAATATCAGCTCTGACCATTTAGAATTTCAAAAGGATACAACGGAAAAGCTCCAGGATGAGATGGGATAGAATCTGTAGACATCACATCTCCCTCTATAACTGCAAGAAGTAGTATCGTTATTTTATACTTCGATCATACTTGTTGAAAGAAGAAGTACGTTGATAATCCAAATTATAAAAATATAAAATGTTACTAAAAGTAGAAAATCCGTAAATTATAAACGATTGTTATAATGTTTTTAGTTACTCTTATTTCATTCTAATGCGTCCTACGGTATGTGAAACGAAATACTTTAGGAAAATGTTGGTAATAAATTCTAATAAGAAGGTTTTGAAACTGTGTAAACTAAAAATCACAGATACTATTGAATTATGTTCGAATGATAAGGTACTGTAATTTGGGGAGGTTATTTTTAATTACCGATTTCAACGAAATCGTTGTCTTCCAAAACGTCTTCGATCACATCGTCCGCGTCCAGCAGCCCGTGTCCCTGACATCGCCTCACATAGAAACGCACATCTTTCACCGAGCTGATGCCCCCATTGTCGGGCTTGTTCTTCGTGTACCGTCGGAGCGCCTCGACGCCCAGCCACTGCACCGTGTTGGACACGTCCTTGCAGGGCACGGTCAGCCACTCGTCCCTGACGTGCACCGTGAAACGAGGCATCGCGCTGCTGGCGGGGGATACCCTGGACTAACTCTCCTACTTCGCTGTTCATAGCTCCCTGTACCTGCTCGTACCTGCCCGCCCATGGCAGGGGCGGCACCAATCACATGTAGCCGGAGAAACACCTCCTGATTCAAAGTTAAATGGACGTGCGTTTT